GATTGAGAAGGTTAAATGGTCTTTCTCCTCCACGGTCTGCACACAGCACTTCTTTCTACAGCTCCGTTGTTACCAATTGCACCCTCTTCTTTCTCAGGGTGGAGTTTCTCTTTTGTCAGCATGTTCACACTTCACACAAAGGCTGTTCCCTCCTGACATCACCACTTTCATGTCACATCCCCAGCATGTGCCCTGTTTTTCCTACCCTGGGCAGGCTCCATGCCTGGGCCTTCCAAGAGTTCAGGAAAATACCTGGTCTGGCTCTGTGCAGGAGCAGCTTGGAAGTGCTAAGAGCTGGCCAAAGCACACTTCCTACCTAATGGATTTAGGCTGTTCTTTACATCTGCTGCCAGTGGCTGTGAGACACAGGATAACTGGGCAGTAGCTCTGTGGTCTGAGCAGATGGGTCAGTCTCATGCCTTAGGTAGGAAGGATCCAGCTGAGAGGAAGTGGAAAGGCATGTTTTTTCTGGCAGTCTTGTGTGCAGAGGGAGCTTTGATGGTGTGGGTTGCCATCTTGCTTTTGCTTTAGAATTGAAAATAAATCCTTGAGAGACTTTTCACCAAAGCATTTCTAGCAGTTGCATGCCAGAGCTGAAAGACATTAAGGCTAACTTATCTCCCACTTGCCCACTTCTCCCTGAGGAGTTTCTGCATTGCTTTTTGTGCTCATTCATGAGTGCAACATCCTCTTCATCCCTTCTCCTTAAAACTTTCCTCTTATGTGCAGTCTTCAATGGCCAAGCCAGGCAGTTTCCAGAGCCCCTTCCTCCTTGCTGAGAGCTGTGCCTGCATTCTTAAACAGAGATGTGGGGGCATAGGAAATGTGCACACTCACATGCACAAGGCTACAGCAGACTTGATCCTGCATTTTCCGAACCCCACAAACCTCCCCACTCAGACAGGAGGAGATTTTTGTTAGCTTTCACCTCAAAAAGGAGCTTTACCCTGCGCTTGAGCCAACAGAGGGCAATAGACTCAAAATTCAATATTGAAAAGAAATGCTTTTAAAAGATGGCTCTGAGCAGCCCAGCCCTTACTGTATCTGGAGTCACATATCACAGTGAAAGGCAGCATTCCACGCTGGACCTAAAACCTTCTCAGGCTCCATCAATTAAACCACCACATCTGGGGTGGAAGAGACTCAGCAAGGAACTCTCACTGGGGTTCAATGAGAACCAGATGTTGTGGGCACAGCTGTCATGCTTCTTATCAAGAACTACAGAGCAGCCCCTGCTGCAGTTTCATCAGGAACCCTGCCCTTCCTTCCCTTCATCCTCAGCACTGCTGAGCGGCCCTAACCAGAACCAAATAAAATCCTCACGCCCAAAGCTTCCCCAAATATTGCTGTTTGTGTTAGCATACTGGTTGTGCATCTCCAGATCAGGCTCCTGCTGGGACTCTCACTGTGCCTGGGACACGATCTTCAAGCTGCCTCTCCTACTCAAGAGTGGCTTCACTCAGCCCCTTTATAATGTAATTTAGTGTTGGCACTAGGGCTAGAAGGAAAGAAGTGTGTGTTCCCTCCATAGGGATAGAGCTCTGGCCAATTTCAGTTACATTAATTTTAATATATTTACCCATAGGGCTCAGATGCTGTGTTTTGCTGCTTTAGATGGAATTCCAGATTGCTAAATTCCAATTGTATAAACGAGAACAGATTGCTGCTGTGACTGCACCCATGAAAGCGCATGGGAATTGTGCAGGACATGCCCTGAAGGCTGTGAGTCATCCTGACCTACAAGCAGTGAACTCTGCTTTGGAAATGTGGTTCAAAGAAAGGGTTTCTCCCCAGACATCAGAAGTCTTATTCTCCCAAGGGTGGGTCTTTGCCCAAGGACTTGCTTTGCTCTGCATTTCCTTGCCACAGAGTGATTTTGCAAGACTGACCAGTCTGCTGCAGATATTATTCTTTTTGCACTTGTAAATGATAGACTGAAACTAAATCTACCTGAATCTGATTACAAATAAACAAATGAAAAATTAGAAAGGAAATAGCCCTGCAAACAAACCAAAACATTTTATTTGGCGTGACACATATTTTTTTTGTGTGTGAGAAAAGGGAAGAATTTCAGTTTCTCATCAACCCAAAGTACTTTTTTTTTTCTTTGGTCAATTCCACAGTCAACTCAAAACTAAATTATTTCCACAGTAATAATTTAATTTTGAAAACTGCTACGTCTGATTGGACCCATGAGTGGTGCTCAGGATTGTGACTAAGAGTTCTGGACCTCAGCAAGTCAGACAATTCGTGCATCCATTGTCATATTGCTGTTTTCAGCCTGACAGGCAGACAGGGACATTCACTGCTGCTCTGAAGGAGCCACCGAAGCTGCAGCCAGAACAATCCAGGCAGTTGTAAAGGTTACCAGCTGCCATCCAACCTTGCAGCTGTTCTTCACTGCCCTCAGAACTGCACGTGTGCTCTCTGCCCGTGCCTCTTCTGTCGACATCATCCCGTGATTCTTAGGAAGTCTTAAAAACCTGTTGTCAAAGATAAAACAAAAATTACTTGCTTTAACCTCATCTATTCCTGACAGCATATGCCAAGCATGAGTGTGAGGGAGAAGAATGACTATAGAGGCCTTTCTAAGATAAAGAGAAATCTTACAGCAGTCCTGATGGCTTGTCTGTGTGGAAATTAGATTGCATACCAGGTGTTTTGTAAGCAGAACACGGTCATTTAAAGGCAACATTGACCCTTTGTGATCTATGTGATACGTGGAGCTTGTGCACATGTTTTTATTTTTCTCTTCTGTGCAGCTGATGTGTTTCAGAAGTAGCATGTGCAGCTCAAATCTGCAGGAACAGGTGGTTACCTATTAATATTATAAAAGCAAGTCCAAGTCCTCTTTGAATATCCTGATGCTCCAACAAGCAGATCCACCTCGGGTCTTGCAGTAACTCATCATAAACCATCTGATAGCTTATTTTAAATGGGCTACTTAGGCAGAGATGAGCTGCAGGTGTTTTAACAAGAAGCCACTCTAGCTGATCCCTTATTTTAATTTCTGCTAAGCCTCTCGTCACAGAACTGCCTGATCTCATGGGAAGGAAGAGGAAGTCACACAGAGGAACTATTTCCTTACTCACATAAATACAAGCACATTCTTATTTTAGACCAAAAGCTATTCAAGCCAACGAGTGTCAGGAATTATGGATGTGTAGACTGTTAGTTTAGCTTAGTTTAATTTACTCCACTTTATCCAGAGCTCTGGATTCTCCTACCACCAAGAAAAAGGCTGGGTAGCTGGCTTCAACTTCAGAAAAAGTCAAATGGCCATTAGAGAAAGGAAACTAAGGTTGAGATGTGGGTTTGCTCACATCCCAGCAAGGAATATGTAGTATGGTATGACACCCAGGTAGTATGGGTGTCATTGTGCCCATACTCAAACCCCACACTTCTTGTTAATGAAAATATGGTATGTGTAGTAGTGCTTGAATTGTTCACAACTTCTGGCTACTCCTGTTTAGAATATGAGTTTAGGTGACAGTGTGAACCAGTTGTGAGTTGTTCTTAGCAGGAAATATTAATATGCTGCTGTTGACAAATGGAAAATTATGCATTCACTTTGTGAAAAAAAAACCAACAAACCCAAACCAACAAACCCAATCCTGCTGATTATGTGCTCTTTATCACACAGTTCTGGGCACAAATCCGTTTGATCTAAGCTTTTACAGCAGTAGGAATTGCTTTAAAAGTGCTTTGAAAGGCTCAGTGCTCTTGAGATTCACTGACTTAGCTGCACTAGGATCTGAGGACCAAGGGTGAGTCCACAGCAACTCAAAGATCACAGAGCTGCAACAGGGATTTGATCACATGCAGGTAAAATAACAGAAGTAGTGTTTATGCAGCCTTCTGGAGATCTTCACTCCTTTTGTGTAGGGTAGGACCACTCATGTATCTAAAAGAGTTGTGACCAACATTCACCCTGAAAAACTAACCGTGTTTATTTCAGAACTCACATTCGTCTTGGGTGAGAACTGCCCCATGGGAAGACAAGTGTGGGTGTGTCACCGTGCCCAACAATTCTTATGGGGTTTATGGTGTCTGGTAAGAGGAAATCTCACTTTGCTGAGTGACACCAGGATTATCTTTACCTCCTGGAGCACACCTCTCTGGCGGCATGCAGCAGGGAGATCTGCATTATGGATACAGCCTGTGCCATCCCAGGTGGCTGTTCCAGCCCTCAGATTGTGGCATGTGACGAATTCCCACATGTCAGCTGTGAGCTGGACCAGGGAACTGGTCCTGCTTGAAAGAAACGAAGTATATTTTTCCAAATGAGATTTATTTTCCTTGGTGAAGGCTGGATCACTCTTGTGCTGTTCTTAAAGGCTTGGTCAGACATTTGTCAGGAGGTTGCAGTGCTGCTGGGGATGTAGGGATTGTACAAATGTTCCCATTTGTATTGGAAACATCCCATTTCCTGACGGAGTTTCTGCAGTGCAGCGTACTGGTACTGCAGACACCTGGAACAAACAGCTTGAAAAGGGGAAATGTTTGCTTGCTGGAATCACAGTTTATTAGGATTCACAGTTTGTGTAGAGCCACATCCATGTTCTGTCTTCTGGCCGTCCTCTTGAGTGCCCTGCACTGAACAACTAATGGTGAGGGAGAGACACAGAAACAAAATCACCCTGCAAGATGTAAGAGGGACATTCTGGATAATGCCTGAATTCCTTTGGAGTGAAAGCTGAACAGATTAAGAAAAGTACAATTGAATTAAAGCCACTCCTTTTTGAAGCGGATATACTTTTACTCTGGCTAAGCAATTTCCTGGTGGGTTTTTTGTTGTTTTTTTTTTCCCCACTTTCCAGCACCTGCTTGTTTCAGAGGGCAGCACTCCAGGGATAACTGTGAGGCAGTGCCAAGAGCCAGCATTTCTCGCTCCCCTCTCGCCCGCCTCCACCCCCTGCCACACACCCCGAATATAGAATGACAGCACACTGCCACAATTTAAATGACACTGCCTCTTCCCCCTCGGAAGGACAGGTCCTCCAGAGAACACCAGCCACAGCAGCTGCCCACTCTCCCCAAAGAAATCTTCATCATGGCCTATAAAGCTGCACATTTGGCCTTTAAGTCGCGCTGGCACAAGACAGATGAAGAGCTGTGTCGCCACAGCATGTCCTTCGTGTTGCACAAGGCAATCCAAAATGACTTCTTCAAGTGTTACCTTTATCTGCTGGAAAAGCTTCCCCTGGGTGAGTAGCCATGGGCAGGAGTGTCAGTGTGTGCTCTGGGAAGATGGATGGGGGGCAAACACCTTGCTGACAGTGAGGAAGAGGAGGAGGAGTTTTGAGAAACCCGGCTCAGGAGGCTGCAGTGCTCCCTAAAGAGTGTGGAACTGTGTCTCCCAGCTCCCTCTAATCCAGCAGCCTGTTGTTTCACCCAAATACCCCACAGCTTCTTAGAGGAGGGCAAGGGAAAGACTTGCAAGAGTGAATGAAAAGTTTGGTTTCTGGCTGACCTTTCCTATTTTTGCCATGATTTGAATAAAACGTGCTTTGACCTGTTTGGAGCTTGGAAGGACAAATGCAGAACTTGTAGAGCTGGCAGGTGGTTCTTTCTTTTGCCTTCTACCTGCTTTGTTGTCATTCTGGTTGTCCTTAGCTCTGGTGTTTGTATTGTTTTGGAGAAGTGCTTGAAAGGTAGTGAATAAAAATTTTTTTCAAGAAAAAAATTCTTTGTTATGCAGATCTCTGCAGCAGATTGTCTAACCTACTGTTTGCTCTCTGGGAGGAAAATGCTTCCAAAAATTTGTTTATAGACAAATTTTGATGACAGCCTCTAGTACAGAATGCCAAGAGGGTTTGGTGAGGTTTTTAGTTTTTTTTTTTTTTAAGTTGCAGAAAAATAATGTTCATTTCTTATGAAAATTTGACCCACAATAAGAAACAAAATTTCCCTGTGAGAATAAAGCTAAAAGGTAGATTTGACTTGAGTCTGTATTACGTTAGCATGGCCTGTTTTAAGCAGAATTAATCAGCCTACACTCAATGTCAGAACTGTAAGAATTTTCAGATGGGAAGGATGAGCCTGTGTAATCTGTTTAAGTGAATTCTTGAGAGTTCCTTTCTAATTGAATTATCCATTTAGGCAAAAGGAATATCTTACCTCTTTGTGTGAACTATACAGATGCCAGTGATGACTCTGCTCAAGAGGGTAGAATTCATTAATCCTGTATAGAAAAAACATTTTCATGTTATCTTGGTATTTTTAATGTGTCTTTTTACAGGCAGCAATATCTGCAGCTATTTAAAATGAAGCATGGAAGATAAATACTCCTATCCCTAGTGGTAGATAGCTGTGAACAATGGAAAGGGAGGAAAGATGGAAAGGAAGGGGAATCAATTACAGGTTGTTGGAATCTCATGAAGTTGATGAAAATGTTATTTTTTCATTTGTTTTGAAAATAAACGCAACTTATTAGAAACTGAGCAGGATTTCCTACAATGTTAACTGTTAGTGTAAGTACTACTGTATCATTTTAAGGTTAGAAGGTACCATGATGAGCATCTAATTTAGAATTGAGTGTAAAAATTCCAGCTTGTAGCTTGTCTGAGTCACAGCATGCATTCATGAACACAGAAATACCTTGGTTTAAGTGTTTCAAATGGCTGAGAACCCATCAGTCACCATTCAGCTGTTTCCAGGCCTAATTACTTTGCTCATAAAACTATACTTATTTCTTGTCTGAATTTTATTTGAATTTCCATTCCTGGCCAACAGGCTTTGTAAAATGTTTCTGTCAGACCAAAGGTCCCCTCTGCCAGGCTTTTCATGACCTGACTCATTAAAACTCAACTAATGATCTTACAAAGCTGTTGCCAGCTTATCCAAATTACTTTGGCTCCATGGAAGATGGACTGTGAGCACAGCCTTCACGTGAATGTGCAGCATGTCTCTTACTCCATGGTTATTGTCAGGAAGTAAAAGTGGGCATGAGGACAGGTGGAGGGTGGACACATCCAGGGAACTTCATATCCTGCTGTGATGGTCTGGATGGGGGAGAGTCAGGCAGGTAAAAAAAATGTTTGGATGGTTGGCTCAGAGAGTTGTGATCAAATGTTGAAATCAGTGGAATCTTATGAGTGTTTGTCTTGGGACCTGTCCTGTTTAGAACCATGGAATGGTTTGGGCTGGAAGGGACCTTAAAGCTCATCTGGTTTCAACCCCCTTCCATCTTTATCAGTAACCTGGAGGAGGTGAAGGACTTTTTTATCCAGAGATTGCAGCCAACTTCCAGGACTTGCCCACAAGCTCTAAGTCAGGACTGCCATCCAGGGGCACCTAAACAGGCTGGAGGAAACAGACAGCAGCAACCTAGTGCCTTTTAAATCCACTGCAATTCCAACCCAAACACCAAGTTATGTACCTGGATAGGAAAACTCTGGGCAGCAACACCACGGAGTGCCCTCCTGGTGGGGTTTTGGTAGGCAGCAGCTGAATGTCCTGGAACAAAGGCAGCCACCAGAATGCCAGGATAAAGTAACAAAAGCATGGCTAGCTGAGTGAAGGAAGTGATGATCCCCTATCCTGCAGCAGTCATTACCTACCCTACTTGTAGAGCCTTGAACTGCCAGTGCAGGAAGTGACATGGAATGAGTTGGAAGATCCTCAGAGTGGTGAGGGAACTGGAGCACGAGCCCTGTGAAGACAGACAAAGGGAATGTTCAGCCAGAAGAGAGACCAGATATCATCCTGCTAGTACCTACAGGAAGGTCATGAATAAGATGGAGCTAAGATCTGCAGCAGGAGGACAAGGGCTCAAAAGTAGTCCAGACTGGCTGTAAGAAATATAATCCTTTTATGTGAGGACACTCAGGCATTGGAACGGGTTGCTCAGGGAAGTTGTACAATTCTCCATCACTGGAGGCTTTCTAAACCTAGCTGTCTAAAACCTGATGAGCCTCATCTGTCATCATGTCTGTCCCTGCTTTGAGCAGCAGTTTGGACCAGAGATTTCCTTAGGTTTCTTTCAGCTTGGATTATCCTATGATCCAGTGCTGTCTCTGATGGAGAGGACAGAATGTGGCAGGTCTGAACATCTCTGCATAATGACAATTTCCAGCTCAGTTCAGAGTGGACCTGAGTAGAAAAGGAGCTGAACTTCTCAGGCTTCAAGACTAGATCCAGATATCTTTATGTAAACAGTGTCAAAGGACTGGAGCCACACTCTTGCTCCAGTAAGCGTGTGCTTAACCCTACTTAGGAGTGTTAACACTGAAACCAAGCCTCACACTGAATCCTGCAGTGCTGCCCAGGGTCAGTAAGGTCCAAAGCTTCCTCCAAACTCTGCTAGCTCCACATTCCCCCCACTCCATCCCTGGGTTCAGTGGTGGAGCTCCTCTGGGCGTGTTTACTTAGGAGCTGAGCGTATCTGGTATCGCAGCCTGTTAAGAGAAACATGTCACTTTTACAGACCAGGCTAACATTTATAAATAAAAGACATGAGTAACTTCAGGCCCTGATCCAACAATGTACTTAAATGTGTGTGAGAGCCCTTAAGCCCAGTGGACTTTATTGGATCTACTCAGATGCTGGAAATTATGCACGTGTTTACACGGGCTGGGGGACTCGGTGCCAGTGGGCTGAGATCTGCACTGGAAAACTGAGAAGATCCATCCCTGGACACAAATATTCCTGTGTGTGAGGCACGTGGCTCTAAGTAAAATCTGCTCTGGGGGTGGGATGATGTTCATCCTCTATAAAACAGAATTTACATGATACTCAGCCCACAGTAGAGAGGTAGATTCTACCATGCACACAGATAACTATTTTTCAGCTGATGCACAAAGCAGATGTTGCATTTAAAAGGGAGCACTCAGCCAAACTGGAATTAGTTCAGTATCTTGCAGAAAGCAATTGGAGCCACAAAATAATGTTCACAAATAAAAACTTCAAAAAAATTACTTGCAACATTTACTTCTGCCAGGGAAATTTAGTTGAGGAAACCCTGAAGTCAAGAACTGTAAGTCAGTGTGCTGCAGGTTGGGATTGCACTGGGTCTGACGTATTAAGCAAGTCCATTTCTTTAGAGATTTAGACCAGATGCACTGGAAAACAACATTTTTAACTGATCCAAAAGAAAATATGAGAGGTAATGTTTTGAACTTTGCAGGGCAAAAGGCTCAGGTGGATAGTGTCTGTCTAGTCCATACTGGTTGGCATTCAGCTGTAGATCACCACTCTGCACCCAGACTGTGCTTGCAGTGACTGATAATTATTGATGTCTCACGACTGGAGTGACCTTTAGGGAGGCAGTCCGTGCCCTCAGCCTGCCTGAGCTGTGGGTTTGCTTCAACCACCTCCGCCTGGGCCTTGCCAGCAGATTCAGCTGAGGGACAAGTGTGCCATAAAAACGTTTCTTCTTTACTGGAAACACATTTCTGACTTTAAATCTTACAAGTTACCTGCCTTAACACTGAAAACCTCATGTGTTAGACATCTGCCTTCCCTGTGATGTCTGAGGAAGTTGCAGCCCGAGTTGTTCTATCCTGCTCATGCCCTACTTTACAAAATTCATTGAAGGCAGGCTGTGTACCCATAGCAGGCCTCACAAGTATTTCATTTCCTGATGCATGAGGCAGTCCCACACGTTTCATGGAAAGGGAGATGCCTCTGGCTAGGCAGGTCCTGTGATGAAGGGGAGGCATGGCTGCGAAGCTGACAGCCACCAAGCACATGTGGCTCTTGCTTCTCTTTTGGGGTAGATTCCTGCAGGCTGGCAAACCTCCTCCTGCCTGGGGTGCTGCTGCTGGAGCCTGCATGCCAGGCACAGCTGCGAGGCAGATCAGAGGTGAGGTTGATTGGCTGTGTCTGGAACACTGGGCTGTGCACTGGGAGAGTTGGCAGCCCTGCAAATTCCTGAGAGGGAGCAGCAGCACTGAGGGAGCAAGAGGTGGAAATCACCTCTGTAGATCTCACACTGTACAAGCGAGGTTCTGGGTCCACAGGAGAAAACCTTGGGTACAGTGCCCCTCTTTGCATTGGCCCATGCCCTTGCATGCCCTGGGGTGGGAGACATGCATGAAAACATCTTTGCACGGTTTAAAGCACGGAGAAACTCCTGTGGATGCTCACCCAGAGCTGCTTTTGGATGCCAGCACGTAGGGCAGGGCTCTGGGGCCCCAGATGGCCTGGGAGGAGCTGCAGTCAGCTGGCGTGTGCATGCAAGTCCTGGCAGGAATTCTGCAAGCCTGATATTGGTTCTGAGTGAGAAATGTGAGAGCTCCACTCCAGATCTGATATCCTGAACACCATATCGTCCCCATGTGTTGCCACAGGTCAGACTCATGTTTTGAGTAGAAGGCCTCTGAATATTTGTTGTTCATGCCGTCCTGGTGTGCAGACAGCCCATAAATGCCTTTCCTTTCAATCTAGCAAGATGGGATAAATCACTGTCCCTTGACAGGTCCACAAAACAATCCCTGGAATCATCACTGGGTCCTGATATGGAAGATCTCACAAAGCCAACGTACAGGGATTCAGTTCTGTTCAGCAGACAGGCTGACCTCTGGAATAGAGCAAAAGGAGACACAGAGAAGACAAGATGATGCCACTTCTGGATAAGGACAGAGATCCCTTACTGGAAAAATCCCAGCCACCGATGGAGTGTTTTTCCCAGGCTCTGGGAGCCACCTTGGCCAAGCTGTGCTGGAGATTGGCTGCTGCCCCCTTCATATTAATTTCTTCAGCTAAATGGTTTCTTCTGAGTATGTGAATATAATCAGTGGAGTGTGTAAAACTCCCAGGTTTGACCCTTGCTGGGCTCAGTGCTTCTTGTGGTATAAATTTCTCAGGCATAACATAAATGTGTAATGGATTAAAGCTTTAATAGTATCCGTTCAGCAGTTGACTTAAGCAGGTGATGACAAGAGGGGCTGGTAATGCTGCTTTTGTTGGATGAGGGATATGCTGGGCATGCTGCTTATATGTAACCCAATAGCACTATTCTGTTCCGAGTGGTCCTTGGTGGTAATTATTCCCTATCCTACTTCCTTTGTCCTCCCCTCATTTGCCTCCAAAATGTCACTCTCCTGCTGAGGATGGGCAGGCACACACTTATCATTCCCCGCTGAGCTTGCTTGCCCTCAATTAAATACATTCCAGGCTTATATTCAGGGCCTCTGGCCTTCTCTCCTCCTCTGTGTGGAGGGCATAATTCCTGTTCCCTGGTCTGCACAAGCCTATTCAGCCCCTTCCCAGCAGCAGCTGGCAGTGCTCCCATGGATGTTTGAAGATGCAGGGACAAAGAACTGCTCCCTGGTCCTTCTGTGCAGCTGGCAGGGAGCTGTCCCTCCCTCCCTGCCTCTCTCTCGTGTCGTGAAGCTCAGAAGGTGTTTGCTGCTGGATCATTTCCAGTGCCCTGGGTGCTCTGGGAAGCTGCAGCAGAGCTGGTCTCACACTGCAAGGTGGTGCTTGCAAAGCCTTGTTCCCAGTGTGGCTCCGTCCCTCCTGTCCCTCCGTCCCTGCTTGGCTTTCACTGCCAGGCGTGGATTGTGTTTTTGGTGGAGGGTCTGCCACACACACACAGGAGAATGCCTGGGCAGTTGTGTGCACACATGAGACAGTCAGAGGTGATGATTTCCAAGCAAAATTTATAGCCAGCCTCAATCCAATCTTTTGGGCTTTGAATCCGTACTTTTGATATGCTGATGCACATTGACTACAGAAAATCCCAGGATGTGGAGGATTGACCTCAGTTTTTAAAGAACAGGGCAAAATAGCCCTTTATCCAGCAAAACTCCCAGGTTTTACTAAAACAGCTTCAAAATACTGATTGCTGTATTTTACCAGCAACATAGCCAAGCAATGAAAAGAAATATCCAAGGCTCTGGCACACAGGAACCTTTCAGGATATCACCCACTGATGACCTTCCTCCTGGACCTGTGACAGATGAAAATTTAGGACTGTCTCTTCTAAATTGTGTCCCCTTCCGTGCACTCATTTAGGCCTGAGAGTACCATCTGCTCCTTGGTTCAGCTTACTTGCACTGCCCCAGACCATACAGTATCACTAAAAATAAACCAGAGCAAGTGCCTCATTCATCCACTCTCTTCCTGGTGCACTCTGCCTGCAGCTATCAATAGCTGGAAAGCATATCTGGAAATCTGCACAACACTTAGGTCAGTGATAGCAGAAATGATGACCCTGCATAGTAGTAAATGCTGCCCACAGCTTTTCCAGGAAAAATCAGACCACTTGATGTCCTTGGCACCTGTGTTCACTTCAAACCTGAAGTGATTTTTCACTGACAGAAAACACAGTGCGATGATTGAAATGACTTCTGAACCTGGAAAGCACCAAATTTGCATGAGGAGGGCTGGATCCCTTCAAGGTCTTGTAGGATTCAATCCAACACCATTCCTTCCACCGTTGCTTTAGAAACAGATTTGGTGTTTTGAAGGCTCAGCTCAAGTTCACAGCTCTTCATCATCGTGCCTCCGGAGCAATTAACAGAAATATCTGTCACTAACAATAAAACAAGCCAGAGATATCTGTCACTAACAATAAAATGGTGATTGATCTGCTTGCAGTGAAACTTTATGCTCTGACAAGTCAAGTCATCAACGGGGAGATGCAGTTCTACGCCAGGGCCAAACACTTCTACCGGGAGGTGCCCGCCACGGAGGAGGGAATGATGGGTGACTACATCGAGCTCTCCAACACAGACGTTGAATCCTCCAGGGAATTCCTCAGGAAGTTTGTTGGGGTGAGTAATTTCATCTCATCTTCTGCAAGAAGCGGTGGTGATGTGTCAGAAGTGATGCTCAGGGTGCCCAGCCACGCCTGATTTAAATGGCACCATGAGTCACGTTGGATTTGCAGTCACAGCTCACCACTGCCATTGTTGTCATGTTGTCATGTGTTCTGCCAGTCATTCATCAGCATGAATGCACGTTTTGCCTGGTCTTACATCATCATGTTCCTGTTTTACATCCTTTTCTAATGCTCCCAGCCTGCAACGAGGATTGTGCAAGGAGTTCTTGTAGCTGGGTTTGAGTGAGGGATGAATTCTGGGACCTTTCATGATAAAATCCTTGTTGGCCTCAGTGGCAGATTTGTCTGTGCAAATTCTTGCAGTCCAGCTGGGAAAGTAGCTGAGACTTAAACGCCCAGTTTATGGTTTGCCTATTTATAGATATTTCTGAGAATGCTGCAACCATACCCACCATCTCTCCCACACATTGGAAGTATATGGAATAAGCTACATATTAGGCAAAATATTTTTCCTTAAACATTCCAGTGTCACTGAATACCTTTTCAGGCACATTGTTAAAGGTCTGTAAACATCTTGAAAGGTCTGCTTTGGCCTGACTTGCAAGGAGGTGCCAAGTGGGATTTTAAGAGCAGTATCACTTTGGCCCTTATGTTTCTGAAAATCCTGTTGAGTCCAAAATCTGTCTTTGGAAATCTGAAAATCCTTAGAAGCGTGGCCTGATGGTTTTCTGACTGCCTTTCCCTCTTCCCAGGGAAGGAGCCCACTAAATCAGCTCTACAACAGTATTAGATGTTAAGGAATCCACAAACAAGTTTGTTAAGTTCTCCTGCTGACAAAATTACTAGTTCTATATAATGCTACCATAGATCTTTCATTTTCTGCTCAAATGTACAAATTTGGGACAGCCAGATGACCTTTTTTTAGCTTTAATGATCCACTGTGGGAAGAAAGCTCAATAGGTTAATTAGATGTTGTATATGGGGAAGAAAAGGGCACAGTTTAAATGGATTGGGATGGAAAGTGAGTGTGGCTTGACAACAGATGGAACTCATGCAGAGCAGTGAAAGGCAAGGGATGGCAAAGTTTGCTGTACCTGATAGAGGGAGACTTTTGGGGCCGTGAGCCAGCAGAACACAAGTGAATAGCTGCTATTTTTCTATATTAACAATCATTTGTATAAATGGTGAGGCAGAAAAGCCTCCCAGTATCGTGCTGTCAACAACCACAAAATGAGAAAACACAAAGGAAGTTCACTAAGGAGCTGAACCTGATGGTAATTTCTGAATGATATTTCTGAAAACGGCATTTTCAGAAGAAAGATGAAATGCAGTCCAGGCACATTCCTTAAATTTGATTTAAGTCTTGTTTTAAGGACATTTGTGGAATTCAAGTGGTGCATAAGTGAGTGCTCAGGAGAAGGCTTCACCCTTCCTAGATGCAGTTTCCTGCAGCAGGTCTGTGTCACACTGTTACACTTTCTCCTCTCCAAGACCCCAAAAAGGAAAGTACAGTGTGTGACAGAGTTCCACATGCCAAAGAGGAATCATACCCCATGCATCAGCTGTGATGACAGACACAAAATACTCCAGAGCAAAGTTCCTACTCCTAGAATTAGCCAGGGATAGAAAGGATACTCTGAATGGCCAAGATCAAACAGGAAAAAAAAAAAAAAAGCATCAGAAAAGACTCTGCACCTTTTGCCTATTCTGATTTAATTTGTTAGAGCCTGTCCTCTATTGAGATGTAGTCAATTGATTATGTTACTTATGGTTTATTTTCCTTTCTTACTGCTGAAATTTGAATCCTGCTCAACCAGATACAGATATTTAGTGGCTTTCTGTAGCAGTGGCTTTATAATAATGCTAATGAACTGTCTTACCAAGTTTATGGCTATATGAATATTTTTTTAACCCCTAAGGTGATCAAGATGGAAAAAAAAAGTCTGCTTCACCCTAATATACTTTCTCTATTTTAAAGAGGAGTTTAACAAAATTGGAAAATAGGAAAATTTGTTTCAGATCAAACATTTTTTTTTTATTGTTTCACCCTCTGAAAAACTTTTCCCTCTGTTTTCAAGAGCTCAAGTCAGTTCCAAAATAAAAAATGCTCTTTAGAAATTAAAAGTTGACAAGCTTGGTTTCTTTTTTCCTTGAAAAGAGTACTTTGACATTTTCAACATTCTTTCCCATGTTTTTTGGGCTAAAGATGACTCTCTAGATTTGAAATACCCGTTTCACAGAGAGCTTTATCCATTTAAAACTTTACATTCTGGCAAAACCAATGCTCCCTAAAAAAAAAAAAAACACTTGCCTGGTTCCACTCAAATTACCCCCCTTGGGTCAGTTTGGCCGGCGTGGAAATGCCACGCGGTGACATTTCCCTTCCGTGACTGATGCTGCATGCCTTCAGGTATGGCATTTCTTAGCACCACTGTAAACTGAGCCACAGATTTCTTTGCCATTGGAGAATTTATCTTGCCTGGGCACATGGAAGGAATTACAGAAAGGGACTGAGGGCTTCCCTTGTGTTTTAGCCCCCTCTCCTTCGCGGGCGAGCCGAGCGGAGTTGAAAGTGCCACTGTGCTCGAGTTAAGAGGTTTTATGTGTGTGTGGGCAGAACTCAAACCAAGAGCAACATGCCTTGAGCCAGCAGAGCTCTGCAGACAAGCTCCAGGCTGTCTCAGCTCCAGGGTTATCAGCACAGCTACAGCCCTGCATATTTATGGCAGCCTGCTAATGCCTCCATGCCCACACAGCCACTGCGTTTCCAAGTGCCTGATCCGGAGGTAGCGAGTAAAAAAAAAAAAGAAAATAAAGAAAACAAAGGAAGCATTAATTCGGCGTTGGTTGTGAGCTGGAGGTGTGTAAAATATTACAGATGGAGATTATATTGACTTTATAGCTCCCTCTCCGCCCTCAACGCTTTCTCCCTTTCTTGCCCCCAGCTCACCTGCATGATTGGTTAGTTGCTGAGTGAAAACTTCTTGAAAGTGATTTTTCTCCAGTTTGATCAGGGTGATAGAAGAGATGTTGTTGAAAACGTGCTCTTTTTTTTTATTTATTTAGAAGGAAAACCACTGGCATTTTTATCTGTTTCTTGAACTCTGATTCTCTTTTTTGTCCTACACGGCTTCACTGCCTTTCTGCTCTTCCAAGACCTGAAGTAGGACCAGGAACATATCCTGCAGCTCTTTCATTCCAAATGAAATTTATGAATGCCCTATTTAGCTTTAAAGGACAATTTTGGGGTGTATATGTGTCCTAAAGGACAGTGATTCTGAGTAATGGGAAGCAAGTAGTCAGAGGAGCAGTCAGTCTCAAATTTTGAAGCCTGTTCTGGCATACAGTTTTCACTTATACTATTTTTTTAAATAAGGAGTCTGATTTTCAGCTCAATTAGACTTTTGGGAAAATGTTTGCCTTCCAAAGAAAATGTTAATACTCTGTCAAAGCCCTGAGCACTTCCAAACTGAAAATATATTAGCTGAACATGGAATTATGTCAACATTTTCATTACGGACGGAGCCGTGGTGTTTCACAGGGCTTCTCAACTCACTGCTCGAAGCTCTCACTCCTTTTCAGCAAAGTGTGGGATCGAGCTTCATCTCCCATGACTGCTCCCTGTCCTTCTTCTGGATGGCACACAGAGACGTGTCACCAGAGGTCCTTGCTGTGACATGTCATGGGACATGAATTCCCTGCTTTGAGCGAGGTACTGTGACTGTAGATTCTGTGAAACACAAATGTTGGAGGAATTACTTGGCTTTGTGTCTCATTCTGTTGGTGGTTTTGGTAAATCATCTCGGTTTTCTCAGTAGCTTTCTCAAAGATTTGCAGTTAATCCCAACAGCGTGGACCTGTATGTATCTGCCAGCCAACAATGTGGAAATCCACCTTGTAAAGATCCAAGACACAGTTCCTTCTCCTTTCCTGAACTCCTTCTTACCTCTTAGTCTGGTCCTCAGTAAAAGCCACGTGCTCCTACGTGCAGCCTGTGGGTGAGGAATGGCTCCCATTTTCTGGCTAACTACAAACAGGTATTCTCCAGGGCCCAGTAGGGTTGAAGGTCTGTGGAGTGGTGCACACATCAGGAGATTAATCTTCCTGGGCATACAAATTGGGAGCAGCAGCCCTGGAGACTGGTGAGAGCCCTTGAGGGCCGTGTGCTCTTTCTACAATTACTCCGTGTAATCAGATGCTCGCCTGGGCTATTCATAGTCATGTCATTGACAGTGCTGTCCTTTGACCTTAATAATCTCCTGAATTACCCACTGAAGCCAGGCCAAAAAAGTGTGAGTTACATGATTTATGCTTGCTTCATTACAAAGGGGAGGGGGTCTCCCAATAAGCAGGAAGAGCAAGACTCTTCCTGGGCTCATTGCCTTGGAGTGCAGTGAAGTTGCAGCAGGGACTTTGGCCCACAGCTTTCACTTCAACACTCAGTTCCAGAGGACAGGGAAAAGGTGTTTACATTTGCTTTTAATGTATTTGTGTAACAGATAACTTTGGCCAGGGGAGCTCCTACCCCACAGTCAGTGCATGTGTAGGCTCAGAATTTCTGTTTTACAGAACAGCAGCAAGCTCTTAAGAGCTGTTTTATAGCTAGAATGGAAGCTTTAGGGGTGAAATGCAGCCTTCATTATAAAGCTTCTTTTACAGCGCTTCATTATTTTCTCATAGGCACAGCCTTTGTGCCACATTTTTTCATGTCTGATCTCTGTCCAAAGATGACATTTATGAAGAAAAAAGGAGCAGTTAAACAAAACCGAGTCAATCACCTTTCTTGTCTCTATGCCTAAAAGAGAAATTCTGTACATGCTCCAGCCCAAACTTCTTGAGTTGTCAGAAGTTACCCACCACTCCAAGATCTTTGTTCAAACACAATTTGTTTTGAGAACTGCACTTTGATCCCAGGGATTCTGTGTATCTGCAGAAATGCCCGTGGGCACCTCAGGAGTTCTGTGCTGCTTGCATGCAGTATTTGGTGTACTCTTCCTTTCTTATTAGGCCTTTACAGGGCACAGAGTGAGGCTTATCTAACCACGCAGCTGCCTGTGAGGTGTGAACACTTGAAGTTGCCAGGACTTCACAAAAAGTGGATCTTCTGAGAAAGCTAGGAGCTTGTGAAAGACTCTTGTCTCTTCTTAAACCGAGCAAAAACTCCCTGTACAGCAGTAAATGCAGGCAGAAATCCCACTGAGAATGTGACAGCGAGAAGACACCAGGCTGGCTGGACACATAGGGGGTAACACTTGCTGTGATTTTTTTTTTTTTTTCAGGTGGTATTTCTCAGGTTTAAAATAATTTTCTTGCATCCCACAGGGGGTGGGGAAAGCTGGCACCAGTCGTGCCCTGGACTGTGGCTCTGGGATAGGTCGGATCAGCAAGCACGTCCTGCTGCCGGTTTTCAAGAGTGTGGAGCTGGTGGATATGATGGAGAATTTCCTGGCTGAGGTGCCAAACTACCTGCAAGGCAAGGAGGACAGAGTAGAGATGTATTACTGCAAAAGCCTCCAGGAATTCACACCAGCCCCACGAAGATACGATGTCATCTGGATTCAGTGGGTTTCAGGTTAGTTCTCTGCGATCCTTCTGGCCTGACATCTCACAGAAAGGGCAGCCTGTGCTCAAACGAGGCTCTCAAACCTTTGGGACTACTCCTGAAATAATCACAAGAGGCTTCTGAGAGTTCCCCCAAGCCACATGGACAGTGGGTACAAATCAAGTTGGTTTTTTTCAGGTCACATATTGGAGAAATGTACCAGCTCCTGGAGAGCAGCCAAAGGTGCCTTATATATGGATTTTCTGGGGCAGAAATACACTTTCTGAGTTGCCTGGGGTGCAGAGAGATACACTGGGCTGACCACACTTGTGAACAGTAGTTTCTGAATCTGCTGATTATCCAGGTTTGGAGGTATTTCAGGAAATAATCAGGAAAAAAGCCACAGTGGAATCACCAATACCTGTAAATCAGATCAGGTCTTATTACATACATTGATGTTTATCAGTCCTACAGCAGCCCCTCCTACATAAGAAACATCTTCTCCTGCAGCCACCCCAGTGAACACCCTGCAGCATTTAGAGCAATCAGATAATGAGGGCAATGTACCTTACCAAAGAAAAATAAAATTCTGTGCAGAGGAAAGAAGATTTTCTCCTAATCTGTGAACTGAAGTGTCCGTGGTGCAGTTTCAGAGGGCAGAAGGAATTATTCAAGGGGAGGTCTGAACAAATTGCTATAGACCAGCATAATTTTCCTTTGTATTTTTGATTTTCTTAAATAATGAGTCATTGCAGTAAATGTAGCTCCTGCCTCACCTTTTGAGCAAATCCAAGTCAAAATGTGCAGAAATGAGCTTAGACCTATGTAAGGCTGTGCTTGTCAGATATGTGGCTCCTAACTAAGGGAGCCTGTCATATTCTTAGCATAGACACAGATCTGAATCCTCTTTCTCCATCAGTGTCAAGGAAATATGGAGTCATCTGAATCATTAATCCAACTTCTACCTCTATCTTGAATTTGGCTGAAATATGCCAGCAAATTGATTTGATGGAGCAAGGGTAGGACTGTAAGCTAGAGAGCAAAACCTTGAAGATCTCATTTTCTTAGGAAACTACACTAAAAGCCAAGTAAGAGAAAAATAAGTTCCAAATTAGGTGTTCAAAACCTTCAATGAATCTTGCCAATAAAATCTTGATTTGTCTTATGCACACATAAGCATGTGAACCCTGGCAGTCATTTTGTAAGAAAAGTAAAAGTGCAAGCTTATATTTCATCTAGAAATTACCATTTTCCTTCAGCTTGAAAGGTATTCAGCTTTAGGTTTTCAGGCTTTTTACTTTTTAATTTTTTTTTTGTTGTTGTTAGGAATGGTTAAAGAAACTTGACATGCTATGTCAAAATGTGGTTTTGAAATGACAACTTCCATTTTTAAAAGTTTAACTTTTCCATCAAGAAAATGAAATAGTTTAACTGGAAAGTAAAGGTGATTACTTTTTCCAAGTTTTTCATCCAGTTTCTGATCACCTGTCTTTGTTTATTCCTGTTAGATATTCCACATGTGAGAGTTCTCATTCTGCTCTTCTCTGAGCTCTACACCACTGTTCTCAACAGAGCTCCTGATATTTGAGAAAGTAGGATAAGAAACAGAATCTCAATAACATATTGAAAAAAGCATTATTTAAAAATATATACAAGTAGCTGCAAAAATCCCATGGAGTAACACGAGTTTAATTGGCATTGTGGAAGGTCTTGCATTCTTTGCTGGATCTTTGATCTAGACCTCCTTTGATGGAGTGATAAGTGCTACACAAAATTACAGAGATTTTTTTAGCAGTAAAAGACAGAGGGGACTGGGATTATCTAGTTTGACCTAGTCTATATTCCAAGCTGTTCTATTCGTTCCTTTACCCACATGCTAAGCCAGTAGTTTGTGTTCAATTAAAACATATCTTGAAAGATTCAACCACACTTGGTTTGAGGACTTCAAGAGGTGGTAAACCCCACTTCTGTTGGTAGTTTCCAATGGGTAATTGCTTACACTGTTAAACAGTTGTCACTTATTCCCTGTATGAATTTGTTTGGCTCCAGCTTCCTGCCACTGATTCTTATTATGACTTAAACCACCAGATTAAAGAACCCTTCAGCACCCACTATTTTCTCCACTCTCCTCAGTGGCTTCTGTTGCTGCTACCAGTATGGATCCTAAATATTGACTGGAGTTTGTATTTGTTGATCTCCTTGATTTGCCCAAGATTTCCAAACTTTCTGCTGTGGAGACTCAGATCAAGGCACAGTTCCTGAATGGTTAGTAGTGATCTATTTTCCATCTTTTCACCTGTAGGATATCTGACAGACAAAGATCTCCTGGAGTTTCTCATCCGCTGCCAGGGTGGCTTGAAGGACAATGGTGTGATCATCCTGAAGGACAATGTGGCCAGGGAGGGCTGCACCCTGGACTGCCTGGACAGCAGCGTGATCCGAGACCTGAACATCCTGCACAGCCTCATCGAGATGAGCGGGCTCAGCATCCTGCGGGAGGAGAGGCAGGAGGGCTTCCCTGAGCAGTGTGTCCCCGTGTGGATGCTGGCCCTGCAGAAAGGCTCCTGACTGCCCAGGGACAGCACACTCTGGGCTCTGGATGAACAATGGGGCTGGGAAAGGGGAAAAGCATCTCCTGGGATCCTCCTAGCCATGCCCTGCTCCCGGGCAGCATCTCCTACAGGGTCAGGAGAGAATGACAAAGCTTCCCCCAGGAACTTCTAAATCCTCCCTGCTCCATCATTCTTTCCATTCTTAAATCTTTCCCAGACTCCTTGTCAGATCTCTCTTCTGTTAAGGAGTCAATACTGTACAAAGCTAATAGAAAACAATTAGGTGTGCAGTTTCAGTAGCAGTTCATGCATTTTGGGGTGTTCTGTATGAGGTATTAACAAGCCTGGTTTTTACTTTGGCACTTAAGTCCTCTTGGAATTTAAGAAGGAGCTGACAGATCACTGAAGCAGGAAATTCAAGTAACTTCTGGAAAACTTCACCCAAATTTTGACTGTCCTCTCCACCTGTACTTTAAAATATTTAAATCAAGAATATAAGGAAAGTTTTACCTTTTTGTTGGCATTTGCTAGGCAGTTTTGGTTGGGGGGGTTTGGGGGTTTTTTGGTTCGGCTTTTTTTTTTTTTTCATTTCTGTCAATTTGGACAATAAAACAACCTGGTTAATTTTTCCATTTTTAGGAGATACTTCATCTTCCTGATGTCTCTGCTGTAGAACAATAGTGGTGCATAAGGGATTTCACACTCCGGGGGAAAGCTTGGCTGACAAATATCTGCATGTTTGCATTGAAATTTTGTGAAAAGCTTACCCCACATATTACATTCTGGAAAATATTTTTTTTTTTCAGAATGTTCACAGTGGAAACCACTTGAAAGCCTCTCTTTATTATTCATACCACTGTACATTTCTTTCTTTCCCACATTCAGAGCAAGTCTGGCACCATATGCAGAGCTAATGGGATTTCACAGAGCGTTAATAGTTAGACTGTAAGAAGAACTAATACAGTATTGTATTAATTAACAACTGTGCTAAACTGCAGAGAGTGTTAGTGTAACCCAAAAGCTGTGATTTATACTCAAAGAGCAGCTGTATGAGCCTGGATTTGAAAATACTGACATGCAGCCCATCTCCTTAAGGCTCACAGAAATTACACATTTAGCTTCTTGTCCTCTTTGTAGAGGCACAGAAAGTGCTGTGGGAGGACAGAAGTTCATTTTGCAAACAAACTCAGAATTTGGAATTCTGCTTCGTTCTAAAGATGTGAAGGGGGAATTTCAAAATTTGTTATGAGGGAAAGCTACATAACCACAGTTTTCCAAGTTGATTAAAATTATTTATCCAGACTAAATCAAATGTTTCTTTTGAATGGAGCTTTTAACATAATTTGCACTTAAAATGTTACTAAGGCTTGTTCAAAATTATAGAAATTAACAATAACATTAGAGACATTCTGACTGTCAGAATTTTTCTCACATTTTACTCCCCTGAAATGCAATCCTGGCAAAGCTTTTCAGACTTTGTAAAGAGTTGCACTATGACAAATCTCTCTGTGCTAGTGGAAAGGAGTTCTATAAAACATCCCTCACATGACAGCAGGCACAATTGGCTGTGTCAAATATTGTCAGCTGGGTTAGATTAACTAAAAAAGAAGCCCGGAGATAACAAGATAAGGGAGCCTCTCAGCTGGATTTTAGTACACATTGCTGCCCTTTGATAACAAATCTCCCATTTTGATTTTAATTGCATAACTCATCTTCTCTGGCAATATGTTTGCACATGTTGAGAATTACCAGTTTATGGCAGAAGGCTTTCTGCCATCAGCTCTTATCCAGTAACTCCTCTGTTAATGTTCCATTGCTAATTGTAGCATTAAGGAAAACCACACTGGTGATTTGGTGAATATTCTGGCGTTTCTTACAGCCCAGAAACCTATGGTTCCCACAACACAGATGCTCCTGGAATGTTTTGACTAATTCTTCCATTCTGATCAGCTGGTATTGGATGGAAATTGAGTAACATTTTTATCCAGAAAGAGGCATCAGTCCTATAGAAAAAAAAAAAAAGGAATATTTACATAGGTAAAATTGCCATGGTAAAATACCTGGGGACTGCTGGAGATCCTGTCTGTGCCAGGCAGGTCTGAGTGGTGTTGTCACTGCAATGGTGAGGGAATGGCATTGTGGAAACGGGGGGAATCAAGAATTTTATACAAATCTAAACAGCTGCCACATCTCACAGGGCACAATATATCAGCTGTGGGTGCAGTTCAGTAATGAGAGACGTGGTTCCAGGGTGGATTTAGAATACAAAGTGGTTCAGGATGAAAAGTGGAATATAAATGACTGGTGTGGTTACCAGTGAAATACATTTTTCAGTGTAAAAATGTTCTTCCTGTGTCTTGTGTATCTTTCCCATTGAATTTCCAGAATGCATAAACATAAATATATAATGAAAATTGGTTCCCTTAACTATGTGAGAAGAGAGAAAAGTAAAATCTTAATTTAGTAGAAAAACCCATATTTCATGGTTTCCACATTCCTGAAAATTAATGTTTCATGGCTATGTTGCTTCCACAGGAAAATAGTAAAGCTTTTCTGGTGACATAATGAATCTCAAGAGTAAAGAAAGAAACTCAAGTCCTTCAGGAGCTTAAATGCATGAGAAGGCTACAGACTGAATAATATTTTGGTTTCCTCCCTTTCTGAAGCATGTTTTAATTCAAGAACTCCCAGTCATCTAGTACAGGCCACCCTTAAATGTTCCTAAATTTGGGTGAGGGCCGTTCTTGGCTTAGAAACTCAGGGCTGTCTGCATTTTACCAATAGTATATCATAATAATAAATAATCACAAATTTCAAGCAGAAGATTTTGCTCCAGCAACCATCACAGCTCAAGCTGTTCATGTTCCAAAGGCAATTCAGATATTGCAAATGTCTTTTCATTCCTGACTGGAAGAGAGCACCATTGTTTTGAAACGTGCAGCTGAATGGATGTGCTGAAATAGTCTTGTTTCAGAACTACTGAAATGGTATCAGATCTTTTTAGCTTGACTTTCTTGTTTGGGTGTTTATATAAGCTAGTTTGAACTGTCATCTTATGTGAGATGACATTATGTGGTGTTGAAATAGCTGAAGTGAAACATCAGTTTCCTACAGAATACACTAATAAAACCAGCACATTCCCTAAATTTCGGGAGACGAGTCAGTAATTTCCAGAGGAAACTGATTTCAAGAGGAACAGCCCAGCATGTCCCCAAGCTCTCTTTGTCCAGACCTGTCCCATCCACTCAGGCAGCTCAGCATGGATGGAAGCAGCCACTGGAGGCTCTTAGGCAAGAAGAGGCAGCTGCCCCCTCCAGAGCACTCTGAGCAGCTCAGAGCAGGACTGGGCTGAAGTCAGGGCTTCCCCTGTCTCCAGTGTCTGTGCAGTGACAGTGCATCCTTGTTCCAGCCAGCTCAGCACCTTCACTGTGATGTCAAACAGGAGGGCAGTGTGTCCTGAGAAGCTGTGGCTGGGACTTGGATAACCAAACTTCTGCTGAAAACCAGTCATGGAGCCAGCACACTGCATTCAAGGCACAGGTCAGGACTGCCCAGTGCCAGCTGGCCAAAGCTTGGCCAGTTAGCCCACCAAGAGCCCTGAGTACCTTTGTGCCATTCACTTGTTCTTTTTCCAGGCTCCCCAGAGCATTCACAGTGGCATATCAGACAGCAGACCTGTCCAGAGGAACTTCACTCTAATGTGATTAAAACCAATTGTGCTGCATCCCTTCCTTCTCTTCCTTTGATGCTTCTTCCAACTTGCCAAAGAAAATCCTCCTCCACTTGCCAAAAATTATTCGTTTTCTGTGGACATCACTACATCTCACTGAAGTAAAACAGATTGTCTTTGATTTTAAGAGGAGGCAATTCTGTTTGTCTGAGAGCAATAGCAACATGCAGGTTAACTCCTGTCTTTTCCAAATGATGGCAAATAGGCACCCCCAGCCCACTGGACCAGACAAAGCTCACGTTCTCTTCACCATAAATAACAATATTTGTATGACACCATACACCCCTAGGCCATGAAGAATGGGGTTTGTTGTGTAAACTGAGGCACAGAAGGGTGATCTGGGCAGCATTACAGCTTTACCCAAGTGGTAGCTGTGAGTGAGCTCTACAAACCAGGCCACCAGAGGAGCTACAGAATGTTTTGCAGGCAGACAGAAACTGTGCTTGGAACAGATTGAAACAGCACGGTTGTGGTTAGCCTGCTTAACCCAACCTGGAATGTTCTCCAAAGAGAGGGCTCAGGCTGAACATTATGCTCAGGAATATTAACAGCTTCTGTTCCTTTCAAAGAGTGGAAACAGCAACCCAGTGTATGCCTGCAGCAAAAATAAAAACACAAAATTGGTGAAAAGTCTCTCTTCCCTGTATTGCTCTTCAAGGAAATGTTGAATTTGCAGGCATTTCAACCTGTTGTGATGTCTTCAGGCTCCTGAGACTGAGGGTTTTAGAGGCATCTCCATTTAGCTGTGCCTCTTGAGAGTGACTTGCACTGATCTGTAGGTACATTGTGCCTGATTGTTCCCCTCTCCCTCATCAAGTCAAAAATCAGAGATCTAGGTTCAAAATCTTTCCTTGGGTTGTTCCCCTCTGTGTGCACACACATGGTAAGAGTTTCACCTGTGCACACAGCTCTCTGTAGGATATATGCAGTTTGTACTGGCCAAGGTGACCTGTGCTCCTGGCAAGATGTGTTTCTTGCCAGCTTCTCACGAGGCATCTGCTGCAGTGGAGCAGGGACTGCTGTGAGATCTGGGTCCCCAGCCACTCAAAGGAATTCCCTGTCTGCCAAGGGAACTGTTGTTGGATCAGCCCTGGATGTCATCTGCTCAACCTGGCCCCATCCCAGCACTCCATGGGTGACATCTGACATGTCTCACTGGTAAAACCCACTCAGATCTGTCCCAGCCTCTTGGAACTAATGCTGCTTGTGTCTTAAGCCTCTCAGTCATGTGAGGATTTTGTAATGTGGGACACACCTCGTGGCTGCCTTCTCCATGGCTGCACATGCTCACAGGGCACACCAGGTGCTTCTCACCTCATTTGGACATCAAAGAGAATCTCATCTGGGGTTAAGGCTTCCCAAAATTGTCACTGGAGAGAGGTCAGCTCCTCCCAGAAAGCTGCTTCCCTCCTGTGATGGTTATCCCAAGGTTATCCCATGCACACAACTGTAGAAGAAGCCCAGGACACTGTCTTAGGTCCAGACAAGTAATTCTTTGGTGTCTGAGAGAGGTGGGGTGAATTTCAGCTCCAGTGGATGGAAATTCATGGGCCCTGCTGTGAGACTTCAGTGCACTCAAGTCTGTTCCTTCTCCCACAGATGCAAACTTGGATCTGCAGCCCTGGCTGTAAAAATCTTACAACTCTGAAAGCCTCTCCAGAGGTTTGAAGTAAAAGTTGTTGGAAATTACTCCATCTTGGACCTTTTTGCATTTTCCTGTCAGAAGGTATGGGCACAGAAACTTCTGAAAACTCAGTGGGGTGCAAATCACATTGTTATTTGCCTGGTACCTCCCTCAGACAGATACCATGAGTTTCCTGAGAGGTGCTTTTTGCACTCTGGATTGATCAGTTTACCAATGAACCAGGGCTGACCTTCTGCTGGGTCTTATTAAATAACACTCTAGTTTTATTTATGGATCAGTATGTGAGTACACTGCTAAATAAACAAGTGACTTCCCCTAAAATTGGGGTACCATTGGCAAACTCTTAAAAATCCAACCTGTAAAATAAACAGGCTCCAGGAGTTACCTCTTACTCCTGCCACTGCAGGAACTTCAAGGTAACAAGAAGTCAATAAACCCCCATCAACAAAATCCCCACTGGGATCCAGGCAACTGAGTCTCTGAAGCAGCACTCATCAAGGGAAACTAGTGATCCAGTAAAACATTAGAGTTCCCACAGGAACCATATTTGCCTTGATTTGAGGCAGCCCTGACCACTCACCAAGGGCAAGGAGGCTCCTGTTGGATGGTGTCTGCAGAGTCCCTCTGCTTTCTGTGTGCTCCCTGCCTGATTTCACCCCTAAATGTCTGCATATAGGGACCCTGAGCAACGAGAGCTTTCTCACCCTACACCAAATCATT